TTATAAAGCTGGCCAGAATTATGAAAATTGCACTGCGCAGCCTCAAAAAATGCCTGCGCAGTGTCCCATCTCTAGTTAGAACAAATAAATTCAAGAAGTGGATTTTTATGGTCTGAGGACTTAGTGATTAGTTAATGTAGCAAAGGAGACGTTTATGTATTTATTATTATGTAAGGGCCAGGTATTATTTTAATAAAGCAAAGTACTGAGGGTCCCTCTCTCCTTAGGGCCTTTACGGCCTTTATTTATAAAAACAATTTACTATATACATTTTTTTGGTCTATATTAACATTGTCTAAGACTATAATGATTACGACTACATTAGTGTTCCCTCCATTACTGACTACGTTACTTACTTCGCCCCTTTTGTCGGAAAGGACTTTTCCTACATTTCGGTCCTTTCTAACGATTCTGACTTTTCTAGCCGGGTTACCCTTATTTGGTTAGCCGTGTCACGTGGCACGTGACTTAGCCGAATAACAGTATTTTAGAATTTATAATACAAAATTTATTATAATATCTTGCAATTTTAGCAATTATCATAAATAAAATATTTTTTGAGTTGAATATTATTTTGTTTATTAAAATTAATTAAGTTGGCATCGCTAGTTTCGCCTAACAACACTAATCAAGTGCTAGAATTGTACACGCATATTACCTTGCATACACTACGTTGTACGTTGTACAAACTCCGTTCCTGGTATATTTATAATATTTAATAAAATAATTTCCAATAGAAAATAATCCTTTTTATTAAGTGTATCATAGTACAAAAAACATTTATGCGATGAGAATAATCGTTATATAAATAATCTTATCGATTTCTCTCATGTTCGATATATAATTTAATCACATCATGTCAAATGAAAAAAATTTACCAAGCATTTGCAATAATTCATTTACAGAATTATTAATAAAAAACACTATTAATAGCGATAACGATCAAGTTATTAATATTTCAAAACGAGCAGATTTACCATTGCATAATTCACAGGATCTTTTAAATAGTGTTATCAAAGAATTATGTGACCTGTATAATAAAGAAGTTGTTAAAGGGAATCCTATAAGCTCAATTATTTACTCAATAGATCAACATTTTGCAAATGATCGGCAAAAACCAGAAGAAATAATCAAATTATGTTTAAATAATCAAATAACTCCTATTGTTCAAGCCAATCCTATAATTCAAATTATTCTTGCACATTGCTATCAATATGGAAAATGGATTAAAA